AAAAAAAAAAAAAAAAAAAACTATAAACCTTTTAGAAGAAAACCTTTGTATCCTTGAATTGGGCAATGGTGTTTTAGATAAGACACCAACAGCATGATCTGTAAAAGAACAAAGTACTAGGTTGAACCTCATCAAAATTTAAAACCCACGATCTGGCCAGGCGTGGTGGCTCACGCCTGTAATCCCAGCACTTTGGGAGGCCAAGGCAGTGGATCATGGTCAGAAGATGGAGACCATCCTGGCTCACATGGTGAAACCCCGTCTCTACTAAAAATACAAAAAATTAGCTGGGCGTGGTGGCGGGCGCCTGTAGTCCCTGGCGTGAACCCGGGAGGCTGAGCTTGCAAGCTTGCAGTGAGCTGAGATTGCACCACCGCACTCCAGCCTCGGTGACAGAGCGAGACTCCATCTCAAAAAAAAAAAAAAGATTAGGCCGGGTGTGGTGGCTCATGCCTGTAATCCCAGCACTTGGGAGGCCAAGGTGGGTGGATCACCTGAGGTCAGGAGTTCAAGACCAACTTGACCAACACAATGAAACCCTGTCTCTATTAAAAAAAAAAAAAATACAGAAATTACCATGGTGGCTGGCGCCTGTAATTCCAGCTACTTGGGAGGCTGAGGCAGGAATCACTTTGAACCGGGAGGCAGAGGTTGCAGTGAGCCAAGATAGCACCATTGCACTCCAGCCTGGACAACTGAGCGAGACTCTGTCTCCAAAAAAAAAAAAAAAAAAGACCAACTTTGTGGGTTTCTTTCTTCTATTTTTGCAAGAACAGGGTGGGTATAGAAGTGACTTGAAGAGTAACCTGGTCTAAGGCCCGGCACTGATGGGACTGGGAGGCTCTAGGCAACAGGCGGGCTGGCATGGGGCACATCAGCTGAATGCCCGGGGCTGCGGGGGGGCACCTGGAGAAAGAAGGCGGCAGGCTCAAGCCCTGCCTTTCTAGTTCTGTGGCCTCGGGCAAGTCAGTGTAACTCTCAGAGCCTCAGTTTCTCCATTTATAAAAGGAAGTCATAGTATTACCTGGCGGGACTGTGGGAGGATGTCATGAGGTGACTTCTGTTTAGACTGTCCCTGAGGTACCCTGCCTCGACTTACAGTTTTGCAAGTGTCCAGTGGTGTGAAAGCGACATGCATTCAGTAGGAACCGTACTTCAAGTACCCATGCAACCATTAGTTTTTCTTTGAGTACAGTAGTCAATAAATTACCTGAGGTATTTCACACACATTATAAAATAGGCTTTGTGTTAGATGATTTTGCCCAACGTCAGGCTATTGTAAGTGTTCTGTGCATGTTTTAGATAGGCAAGGCTATGATATTCAGTAGGTTAGGTGTATTAAATGCACTTTTTTCTTTTTTCTTTTTGAGGTGGAGTCTCACTCTGTTGCCCAGGCTGGAGTGCAGTGGCGTGATCTTGGCTCACTGCAACGTCTGCCTCCTGGGTTCAAGTGATTCTCCTGCCTCAGCCTCCTCAGTAGCTGGGATTGCAGGCATGCGCCACCACGCATGGCTAATTTTGTATTTTTAGCAGAGACGGGGTTTCCTCCATGTTGGTCAGGCTGGTCTCGAACTCCTGACCTCAGGTGGTCTGCCTGCATCAGCCTTCCAAAGTGCTGGGATTAGAGGCGCCTGGCCAAGTGCACTTTCGATTGATGATATTTTCAACTTGCTTTGGGCTTATCTGGACATAACCCCACCAAGGGGCCTCTGTATGCATTGAGCACCTATGTGAGTTGGTTCCCTTCTGAGTGCCCAGGACGCAGTGATAGGCAAAGCCTACCTTAGTACCTACCCTCATGGATCCCAGAACTTCCGGGGGAGATAGTCATCAACTAATCACCCTGATGAACATGAAATTACAAACCGAGCTGCTTGCTCTGAAAGTGAGGAACGCACATCTAGAAGAGCATGGAACAAAAGAAGCCCCTCGTCCAGTGGTTGGAGAAGGCTTCCCTGCAAAGTAGTGCTGGAGCCGAGATCTGAAGCATGAGTCGGGATGATCCAGAGGAGGCAGGGAAGGTTCCATAATGGTGGGTACAGCGTGTGCCGAGGCCGTTGCCAAAGGGAGCTTTACAGGGGCTGAAAGGACGCCGAGGTGGCAGGAGCCCCTGGCGTGAGGGCAGTGGATGGGGAGGGACTGGAGAGGCCAGCGAGGGCAGACACACAGGGCTTTGTGGGTCCGGTTCAGGTTTGGGGCTCTCATTTCACCCCAGCACAAACCAAAAGTCTCGTTTCTTTATGAAAGACTCTTTCTTTGTTTTGAATCTTCTTTGAATGGAAGCCTTGAATGCTCTGATCTTTTTTCTAATTTGGGGAGAAAGAGAGTGAGTATTGGTATGAAATATGCGTTTCTGAAGAACCTGCTGAAGAGTTTGTTCAGACGAGGCTGGACTCGGTCCTCCGCCCATCACTTACCTCTGTGTGACGTGGGCAGCTCACCAGCCCTCCAGGCCCACAGCTGCCAACAGGAGCCAGGGGTTCACCTTGCTGGTGTTGGGATGACGATGGCCACCGTTTACTGGGGCCAAGTGGTTTCCACATGTGGCTGGCCTAACTCACTTCCCCTTCAGGTCTTCCTGAGAGCAAACCAAGCAAGCGTCAGTTTTACAAATTTTATTTTTTATTTATTTTTTTATTTTTTTTGAGACGGAGTCTCACTCTGTCGCCCAGGCTGGAGTGCAGTGGCCGGATCTTAGCTCACTGCAAGCTCCACCTCCCCAGTTTACGCCATTCTCCTGCCTCAGCCTCCC